TCAGCACCTGGCAGAGACCAAGGGTTCCCACTTAGGCAACCAAAGTCGCTGAAGCTGGCCTGCCATGAGCTCAGCCTTTTTTGGGGATGTTACCCCGCGAATAGGGGTTTCCCAAATTTAGGGGTACCCTGTTGGGGTCCCTATAATAAGGACTATAGTATTTTGGGGGTCTATATTGGGGTCCCCTTATTTTGGGAAACTACCAAATAGGGTTTAGGTTTTAGGGTTCAGGGTTAGATGGCATTATGTAGGGGTTGTACGGGGGTATTACTCCTGGATTGAAGAAGAAAGTGGAAAATTAAATGGACGCTGGTGTTTACATAGGGCGTTGGGGTTCAGAATTTTGGTTTAGGGCTCCGGGCTTAGTGTTCGGGGGTCTACTAGGCGCCCCACCGCTTGCGGGTGGGGAAGTGGGAGAGTTACGAGTTTGGGGGTTGGTTTAGGGGTTGCGGCGGGGGTCCAGTCAGGAATCACCGCAGAAAATTAAGTGCAAGTAATATATGGCAGTGTCCCAATATAAGGGGGACCGAACATAGACCCCCAAATACTACACTCCTCATTATGTGGACTCCTAGAAATGCACCTTTAATGTTAGGATACCACCATACAACCCATATGCACGGGGAGAGACGGAGATGATGATAGGAGTCCCGATCCCCACCCCCTTTAGCTCTTGCGGCCTTAGGGGGTTGAGAAGTTTAGGGATTGAGGCCTTGTGTGACCGGTGTAGTCTTTAAATAGACTATAGTTGGGGAGCTGTCTACACAAGATGCCGGGGCATGAGGGGAGCATACGCTTACCAATTTCGAGGATGCCGCCCTTGGAGACAGGCAACTAAACTCTGAGACATACAAACATCATGCTTGGGTTTCTTCTTGCAAGGAATGTAATTGGCATGCTGGGAATAGAGTTGTACTAGCCGGAGATGGTACGTATCAACATCTCTCCTCTACAATGAGGGCTACTGCGCTGCCCTTCCACTCAATCTCACTTCACACCGTCATCCCGATCATCTCCCATCCTCCTCGTCTTGCTACTGCTGCCACTCTTACTCCAAGTACTGCAGGAAAAAGGGTGTCGTCTGGTATTACCATCTTTGCAGAAGAAAGACACTGGCTCTCGGCTTAGCCAGCCTCCAGCCACAAGGCGCCGAGCAGGTGCCACGCAGCTGGCATTTAGCTTGTCAAAGAGCGGCCTGCTCGAACAGCCCACTGAGGACTTAGGCATACTACAGTAGTGTTGGACATAGCGCGAATTTAAACAAGTAGAACTAAGCGGCAGTAGAAGGGTAGCAATCAAAGAGGAGCTGTGACACAGCGGTGAGGTACGAGGAGTTAATTGGCATCACACATCGTAGCAACTATATACAGCGACCAGATGATGATGATGATGATCATAATCATGATGATGGTGAGTTTCCTGGGACCATGCATAATGCCCTCTGTTCTCCCTAGTCTTAAATGTGCCTTTCAGGCACCAGACATGCGTCAATATGGGGATGACAGCGAGGCCGGTCAGAGAGGGAAATCGTGGTTAAGGGTTTCGGGTTCAGAGACAATCTCTAACTAACAGGTTTTGCAAGCCCTGTTTTCAATTGCAGATAAAGGAGGCCTGAGAAATCACCAATATCCGTTTGAGGTCTACTTTAGGTACTCCATACCATGATTCTGCAAGGATTCTAGAACCCTGATATTGGTGCAATGATTTAGCTGTGAACCCCTGCAAAAGAGAGATAGAGTCAAGCTCACCCTATGAACCCCCCCCTAAAGAGCCAGTGTGAATTTCTAGTTCATGTTCCATCTGATTCTACATTCTTGAGGCCCCTATATTTCGTTCTCCATTATTCAGGCTTGTTATTTGACTCTCCGAGATTAAACCAATAAGTCCTGAGCCCTAAAGCCCTAAATAGTAAGTTCCATCTTATTTTTAAATAATCACAACATAACCCCTATGTATAATCCCAACATAGCTAACCCCTTAAATGGCAACTTGGAGCCCTAAACCCTCTTCAGCAACCCTCAACCCTAATCCCATATAAACTTGCCATTACTTAGGATCCCCAAATTTCCTTAAATCCAAAATTTCAAAATCCAAAATCCGCCCCCAAACCCAAATGAATGGTAAAAAAACCCTAAAACCCTCTTTAACAAGGACCAGCCTATAGGATGCCTTCCGCGCACCAAACCAGAAGCCTCCCGGGTGGCGATGCTGGACAAACACGGTTTAGGGTTTAGGGTTTAGGAAATCTATAACTTGGGTCAATCCTCACCCAGTAATGGGTACCACAAGGGACTATTGTAGGCATGTTAAGGCCTTATTGATTCCATGTTAAGGAACTATTACTACAGGCGGGATTGACCTAATAGTCTATATACCCCACCTCCCCCTCAATATATATATATAACCCTGGATTACAACATGAATCTGAATGGCGAGTCTGGACGTAAGGCGGTGCCCTGCTTGTCTTTACTCTGGGGACTTTGGGGGAACAACGCGCTCAACAAAACCCAAAGCCCTAAAAGCTACACACCCTAAACCCAGAGCAGACGAACCTCAAATTGGCGATGATGTACTCAAGGTATCCCCATCCTGCGTCGCTGCAAGTAAACCTGAACACCTAGACCCCAGTTGCCCACAACTCTCCCAAGAAATCTGCACAGGCAATCTTGCAGCGCTAGTGAATCCTAAACCCCGCAACCCCAAACCCCTCAACCCCAAGCCTCTCATCTTACTGGTCTTTAATAGGGAATAAGGGTATATAATCCCTTTGTGAACCCTTTATAACATATTCCCATATTTCCTACTAGACTCCGGTAAGTCATTCAATCCATTCGCAACGCGAAGCCTCAGCTTAAGATGCCAGCTGGCCTAAACCCTCAAAACAGGCAATGATATAAGCTTATACAGCCCAATAGCATCCTGAAAAAGTCTATATGCCCCTACTCAACCCCATATACCACGACAGAACTAGAGAGGCCCTACGTAGCCCTAAAACCCCAAACCCTAAATCCTAAAACCCTAAACCCTTAAACCCCTCAAACCCTAAAACCCAATCTATTGGGGTAATATCCCTATATACCCCTTTAAAGGGACCTAGGGTTTCCATTTCATTTTCCATTTTCTTTTCCATTTGATTCTCCATTATCCAAAACTCCTTACCCCCCCGAACCTGGGATGCTCTGACCCTGCCGCAGATCCTCCGGGAACCACGCCTCAGCTGCTCTTCAGGACCTTCTTCCGTAAGATGGCTTGCAGAGGTAGGGTTTAGGGAGTTAGGGATTTAGGGTTTAGGGATTTAGGGTTTAGGGTTTAGGGATTTAGGGTTTAGGATTGGGAGGCTTGGGGTCTAGGGCTTAGGGCTTCCTGTGCTTGCAGAGGTTGGGGGATAGATTGGGAGGTTTAAGGTTTAGGGTACATGTAGTGTTTACATAGGGATAATGGAAAGAAATGCAAGCTGCAACTTTGGGTTTAGGGTATAGTTTGGGTGCTGCACCCACCCTGTAACAGTCCATATCAGGGCATTCGGGGTCCTATTAAGGGCTACATACAATGATATCATTGAAGGGATATATATATAATGATATCATAAATATTATCCAACTGTTGCAGAGTGGGGACAGTACCCAATAGAGGGTGGTTATACAGGGATATTATAGGAGTATACCAGCACTCCAGCCCAATACTGGAGAATCAAGTGCTTCGTGGTAATGCAACGGTTGAGGGTTTCCGTTTTATTGCTTGGGTTTCGGGCTTGATGAGAATAATGGTTGAAAAATAGCAACAGCTGTAGTGATAGAAGTAGTAAATATACTAATGATAGTATAGTGACCGCGAATGGTAGCAAGAGGGCTTCAGGGTAGTGTTCATGATCATCTGGAGAGTTATGAAGAAATAGGGTTTGCGGCTATTCAGGCTTGTTTTGCAGGCCGATTCAAGTTTGCCGGCGGTTTGCCAAATCAGGCCGCCCTAATACAAACCTCCAAGTCAATCCACGCTTGAAGGAATCCAGGGAAAGGCTCACAGCGTCGACTTTTGCGTAAGATGGCCCTGTAGTCGTACCGGCTCGCCCATACAAAGCCCATATTTTCCAAACAGGCAAGATGCCTCGAAGAAGATCTCTACTGCAGAGAACCAGTCCTCCGCTGCAGGATCCTCCATCAGTTCTTTCTACCCTGCTCCCAGAATTTGTCAGTCCGACGGCACCATGGCACGAAGGCCAGTCAGATACCTCTTGCCCTGCTGCCAAGACTACTAGATCGCTAGTGATGGCATTGCTCCCTTGAGTTTGGAAGAGCTCTGTGTTCAGGCGGGGCCGGAGCTGGATGACCTTCAGTGATGCTGAGCGGCTGAAGAAATCAAGATGATCAACACCAACAATGAAAAGAAGAATTGCGCAAGCGCCCATGGCCTCAAGCACATCAGCAGAAATTATGGCTGCATGGTAATTATGACCTTCACGATCATCCACGATTCGACAAACCTGTAAAGCCTGACCAGCCAGTCCCCGCATGCAAAGAGCCCTGAAAGATGGTTCACTGTATGACTCCACGTTCCTGCATGACCAAGGTGAAGCCATCAAATTCTTACAAGATTCCTAGGTACTAGGAAATGGTCTCAAATACGGAGCCCAAGCTTCATGGATATGCACGGCGATATTCCAATTAGCATCTTTACCGACACAATGCTTCAAGGTGTAGGGAAGGCATGGGAAGGCATGATTGGTAACGAGACACTGTATTAGGGCCTGAGGTCCCTGATTCTGCTTTCAATGTGCGCACCTGCCTCTCTCCATTACTTAAGACGTAAGTCTAAGCATAATCGTCATCACCCAGGCTGCCGCTGCTACTGCCGCTTGCTGCGCGTGCGGCTCCTCACCCTTCTCAGGAGGCCTGTCTCCTTCTTCTTAATACTACCACCACCACCGGCAGCATCACCAGTAGATACTACGACTACTGATTACTGCTGCTGCTGCCGCCACGGGCGCTTTTACTTTTTTCGGCCGCTTCTTCTCTAGGCTTCTGCCGGCGGATCCCCCGTGGCCGGGGAAGAGCTGCTCCCGCAACCTCAGGCCACGGACCGCTTCAGGATTATGATTAGTATCCCGCCGTGCACAAGGCGCGATAGCTTCAAATACTGCTCTTTCCTTAAGCCGCCAAATGGGGGTTCGCAAGTTGCTGCGAGGTGGGGTATTCTAAGTAGCTCTCCTACTCATGGCCCAACTTCGGGTACTCAGAACCCAAACCCTGAGCCCTAAACCCTGCACCTCCAACAGCAAACCGCCAAACCCTTTCATCCCCTAAGCTTCCTTGCCGGACAAGAGGCAAATCTGTCAGGAGTGGCCCCAAGTCTTTCCCATCTCCTGCATCTGGCTAAGAGTTGCTGTGGGGGGGATACTTTGGGATAAGATGGCAATCTACAGAAAGAGCTATATTGCGCTAGTAGATGATTGCGTGATGCCTTTGTGGTGAGAATGTTAGGGCCTCAAAAGGCGAGGATCCCGGTCTGGAGACTTCGGTGTGGCGCATGTTGAACTTTCCTTTTACAAAGGAGAAGGCCCCTTTTCTCTCTGAAAGTTACCCCAATCCTCCCCTACAACCCCCAAACAGATGCCAGAGCTGATACTAGTGCTACCGATCCCTGATGTTGCCCACTGTTACTTTTCTACCTCTACTGCATGGAGAAAATCTCAAACCTAACCACGAAACCCACTCCAAACCTTTAACTCTCAACTTTAAACACTGACCTACTCCCTATGCAAACCTTAAAACCCTAAAGCCTAAACCCTTAGAAGTTCATCTCGGCACTCTCTTGGAATTCCACGCCAGCCTCCGGGGGCGAGCGCCGCCTCTGGGGCAGGGAGCCGCTCCATCAGCCTCCATTACATAGCTTGCCTTGATTAGCTGGGAAATGAAGGAATGGGAAAAGAAAACGGAAACTACTCTATATATAACATGTGTTAAAGGGTTATACAAGGACTACTATAAGAGATCCATTCCTTCATTCCTAGCTAACCAACGGTAAGATTATGGGGGCCATCTAGAGATTAGAGCAAGGTTGTGTAGGGGTGATGATTGGGGCTATACAGGGGTTATGCCAGGGTTCTACAGCGGTTACATAGGTGCTATCTTGGGATTATACAAGGGCTATGTAGATAGTCAGTATACAAGGGTTCTGCCGCCATAATTAGTATCATATTATGATAAGTGTGGGGTGCTAATCTTGGGGTTGGGGTTAGGAAGCTCCTCTCATTGTTTTTTGTTTCCTAGTGCTCGGTAGGGAAGTGGCTGTGGGGCTAGGAGCTTGGGATCTGGGAGTTAGGGTTGGTGGGTTAAGGGTCGGACCGAGTTTAGGGGTTAGAGAGGCTTGGGGTTAAGGGTTTAGGTTTCAGGCTGTGAATTTAGGGATTAGGGGCTTAGCGTCTAGGGCTTAGGCATGGGTTTGGGGGATTGGATACAGGTGACTGTACGCGTGTACTGTGTATATGGTAGTCCTTCGTTTCAGGCCCTTGTTTCATCTGAGCATTTCAGGCGGTCTTCAGAAAATTTGTTCAGACTTTTGGGTTTGGTGCTTCAGGACTTGCATTCACAAATTTGGGTTCGAGGGTTTAGGTTTAAAGCAATCATGCATTGAGTTGTACACAAAGTGCCCAGTAACCCCTTAATAGTAGCGGCACCCTTTTTCCTAATCTTCAGCTTTAATCAGGAGAGCCCAAAGTAAAAAGGGAAGAAGGGTACTACTGTTGTACCTAGTACAAGTATAGAGGTACACCCAAAATGGCCCAAGCAAGGTGCAACAGCATGCCGGGCTATGCTTCCAGAGGTTGTTTTTGCCTTCTGATGATTGCGCTTTTGGAACGCTGGGCTTCGCAGTACCTTGAAATATTTAATGGCTCCCACACCACTGCCAGCCGCTGGAGCTACAGGATAACTATGGAACTCTTTGCCCCATTTTGTGAGGCCTCTTCAGCTGCGGGTCTGGTGGTTGAAGCATCAACCTCGGCGCAAGGCAGCGAACTGTCAGTCGCAGGGGACATCCCATGGGACCTTTCAGACCCTAACTGACTAGGCTTTGAAGCAGCATGGAGAAACTTTAGGCGTCCAAAATTACTGCAGCTCCTCGAAAATCTGAAGATGTACATAGCTCTGAGCCAGGCAGGATAGCGCTCGCCAGCAGATGAAAACGCCATGCAAGATCCTCACCTTGGGGATTGAGCACAACGCATGTTACTCCTCATAGAAACTTCTGAACTAGCTAATGAGCTAGAGTGTGTGACTGTGATGGATAGCACTGTTCTTGAGATTGCTCAAAACACCTGGGTAAGGAGCCTGCAAAGCCATATGGTACTTTCCCATAACAAGGGGACCCCAATCTAGACCGCAAAGTACTATAATCCTTATTATGGGGACCCCAAAAAGGTACCCCTAATTTTGGGAAACTACCATATGGGGTTTGCCTCGATGCCTCTTTGGAATTGCTTGGATGGCCGGCGTTTCTGCAAGCATGGCATGAGCACTGTCCTCAGCCCTGTACAACATGTGCGGCCAAGATGCGATGCGGCAGAGACAGAAGAGAGTAAACCAATCTCCGGAGGCCTGAGACTTTGGGCTATGAGATTCTATGAGTACAGCAAGGTTGAGGGTTCAACACACCAAAACCTGAATTGACAGCACGTTTCGCCGCTCCTGTCCAAGATCGCCACCCCCCCTCTCCCCCCGGCGATCCTGCAAACACGCTGCAAGCCATGGCTGCACCTAGAAGACCATTCAGAAAGGTGACAAGGGAGGGTGTCCAAAAGTCAGTCCTGCTTGGGAGTCACTGTACTGTACTAAGAGCCACAATGTTCTGACGTATAAGTACAGAAGGAGGATCCCCCCAGTTATACCAAAAAATTGAGAGGTCCACAGAAATGTATGCTCTCAACTCCTTCATGCGCTCGTGTAAGTGGTGTTTCAGCAAAGTACAAGGCTACTGTTCATGGCGCTTGTGCACTGAAACTTCAGCAAGTCGGTCATAACAGCAAGCTGTTGCAAAGTGCTGTTGCGAACAAAGCCCTAGACTAGACCTTAAGGCCCATCCCTATCACCACTTCTTGAACAGAGCCCTGAACATGAAACCTCATCACTATCACCTCTTATTCCCTGAACAGAGCCCTAAACCCTTTCGAAACCCTCTAATTAGTCTAGCCCTGTCAAGCGCAGCTGGGGCAAAGGCTAACTTTGGCCTCACTGGAAACAGCCAAGTCCTTGCCAAGGGGAAATTCCAAGAATTAGGGGTCTCTTGTAGGGTCCCCTAAGAAGAGGGATTGTATCTCTTCAGGGACAGGCAGGGGGTTCTTTTTTTTAATGCTAACACGCATGTCAATGTCCCTAAAGAAACAGTGGGCGTTTGAAGGATGACACTCGGTGGGAGTCTTAGAGATCAATGTGGAGTATAAGGAGTTCGGGTAGGGGGCGTTTCTAGAAAGTGAGACAACAAGTAATCTGCACATTCCTTGCTGAAGAGGCCAATGTGTACTGAATCTTACTTGTCTGCCTCGCATCCTGAGCTGCTAGCCCAGAGAGAATTCTTGGAATCCTGGAGCGACCGGCATGCCCGAACCCACCAGCTTTCCCAGCACCATTGCCAGGGTGGTTGCTTGATTTTCGCCATGATTTCTTCTAAAGCTAATGAGATTCCTCATGGCAATGACTCCTATTGAGAGCCACGACGGATCACGTCACGCACGCAGTCTTCAATTCGATGGCAAAGCTGCAAAGGTGCCATGAAGCTGGGTTGGCCCCTGAAACCCTTTGAAAGATATTGGTATATAGGGTCCCCTACGAAATCCATTAGGGAAAATATCATATCACCCACCTCGCAAAAGCTGCGCTACCTGGTGGCTGTTTGGACGAGCCCTACCGCGAGAAGTTCATTTCAGAACCCATGCTGGTACCTCAGACTGCTTTCCTTACTCCAAACCTTGCACTCTAATTAAGTCCATCCTAAACTCGACCCAACCCAGCTCAAACCCTAAACCCTAAATCCCAACATGCCTTGTTGGTCAGACCTGTGAGAACTTGAAAAATGGAGGCCACAGCCTGTCACAGAATTCGAGACGCAAATGGAACAGCCGAGGGGTGCCCCATGCATAAGGCCAAAATGGCCCAAAATGAGCTATAGTCTAAACTCCTAGCATCCCCTTAATAAACCCCTAAAATGGTCCCCTATAAAATCCTCTATAACCCTAGCTCAAATTAAATGAGGTTCATGCACCTCCTACAAGGGGACACACGTGATAGCCCCTCACCAAACATGAGATGGCTGCCAGCAAAACTGCGCAAGGAACAATCTAAGGTTGAAACTATGGGCCCCTTGTATGGGCCCTTAACCCTGGGATCCTAATGTACCTACTATATACCCTATATGTACCCTTAAGGGTCCCTAGAATCCCTAGAATCCCCTTCTACCCGTCGAAACAAGCAAGGATCTACTCGGCCTATCCCAACTTCAAAGGCCTTCGCAGGGGACCCCGAACAGATGCGTCGCTTTGCGAGATCTCCAATAGGGAGGTCGGAAAATCACGTGACGGCTCCCTATAGGTACCCTAAGCATATATGTATATTCTGGGCAGGGGCGACATTCTATAGGGGTTAGTTGTTCTGTTTTGGGAAAGTCCCATCTGAAGGCATGCCTCTTCTGGAATACGCAAGAGAGCTTGGGATTCATCGGCTTTCTTCTGGGCCTGGGCGCGCTGTTCAGGGTTGAGCCAAATAAGTTAGACGTATGTGAAAATCAGATATACAGTAAGTATAACAATAAGGATCGTAAAAATGCATATATAAGGGCTTTATGGCCTAGGGTAGAGCTTCAATTTAGGGATGTGTGCAAATGTGACTTCGTGAGGTCTTGATGCCTTCGCTGATATTTGAAGAAAGATTATGCGACTTTGGGGGGGAGGGGGTGCTGAAAGGGCAGGGCAGCAAGAAAAGTGCTACAAGGAAACGATGCCGACAGTAATGGCGACTGCAAGCTGGCCATGGCTACTGTTTGAGGCTTCAGAGGGATTTGGGGAAAAAAAGGCGGTGCTTTATCATGAAGGGTGCAACAGCCTATGTCTTGTCAAATTGGGACAGACAATCCCAAACAAGCTCACTATGCAAGTTTATGCGTCTCATCATGTGGCTTTCTACCTGCATTCTTAAGTGTGCGTTCTTGACGAGGAATGTCAACACGGGCACGGGATTTTGGTAATGAGCCAGTCGAACCCGACGCTCTCGCCAACCAACGCCCACTCAACGTTTTTATCTCCAGCTCTTGAATCCAGAACCTAATCGCCTGAACCCTAGTGTCGATGTGACCTAGACTCGAAAGGTGCAGGTGAATCAGTATGCTCCAAGAAACAAGACTAGAGAACCTGCACAAGAGCGTCGGCAACAACCACACGCACACCCTCAACCGTGACAACAATGGCAGCGATGATAACAGCAGCAGCAGCAGCAGCAGCAGCAGCAGCAGCAGCAGGAGCAGGAGCAATAGCAGCAGCAGTAGCGGAGGGAAGCGATAGCTGTTTGACCTCATCTTTTCCGACGCAGGCAGCGTGCCTATCAACAGTCAACAGACACACAGTTTTCGCATGCCGGAAAGGCACTCAGCCAACATAGGGCTGCGGCTGACCGCATCAGCCAGTAGGATGCGCGCTGCTCCAAACTGGCACTGCTCAACGGCAACAACGGCCGCAATGGTGCGCTGACCAAACTTAAGATGCTCTGCTTGACTGCGAAGGAGGAGCCGCAAGACATCATGGTGCTCAGCCGCAATCAGTAAGAGAGCTGTCAAACTGCTCTCCCCAGTTCCGATGGTGTCAACTCGGGCTTCCAGCAATAGCTGTACAATCTCTGTATGTCCACGCTGGCAAGCAAGGTGCAAGGCTGTGACGCTGCCACTCATCCTGGCGTTCTTGTCAGCCCCAGCATCAAGGAGCAAGCGAGCAACTTCAAGGTGGTTCTCCGCGCAAGCGATCCCCAGCGGGGTGGCTCGACATACATCTGGATCTGTCTCGGCGCCAGAATCCAATAGAAAGCGCACAGCTTCCAAATGACCCTGGCAGCAAGCTACAGATAAAGGAGCGAAGCGTCCCCGCGCGGTCTTTCTTAAGTCGGCACGTGCCTGGATTAAAATGCCAAGGATCTCCAGGTGCCCTTGCGCGGCAGCCAGGGCTAGCGGAGTGTATCCATCCTCAGATGTTCGGTCGCGGTCTGCACCGGCCTCAAGCAGCAACCTCATGCACTCAGCGCTCCCGCATACCGCGGCGTACTGCAAGGCCGTGCGATCTTGCTGCATACTCACATCCGGATCTTGCGGCAGGGCAAGCACTGCCTCTGTCCGCTCAACTGAATCAATTCCCACTGCAGCGTAGAGCTCACGGCATTGTGCATCGTCGGCAGGGCAGAAGTTTAGCAACACAAGCTCGAGCTCCATTGACGGCCACAGCTCGTCACATTCATGCAGTTCGCGGCCATCTATCAACAGCCTTTGTCTGAATCGAGTCATCCCCAGCAAGGCCTGTAGCCTCTGCTTCAAGGCTTTGACAGCGGTCCCGCAGGTCTGCGCCATCACCTCAAAATCGTCGTCTGTCATCTGCAAGATCTCCTCACCGGATGCCATGCGAACGCACAGCATGCGGCAAACTCCGGGGGCGTTAACCCCCACAATCCGCGGACTCTCAAGACCCCTGCAAGGCCCCTGCTCCCACATAGGATTCCTACGCAACTATGTAAGCTTCCAAAGATCTCTGCGACACATCCTGAACATACATGAGCCATACCATCAGTGAACGATGTAGCGACTTGCAGATCCCCCCATTGTCTCAAAGAGTAGGCCCCTGGCAACTGTAGCTATGCTCTAATTAGACCGTCTAGCATGTATGGCCTGGATGCGGTCCCAAGCTGTAAAAGTTCGCCAGTATCACAGTAATGTCTTAGCCGTTAAGGGGTCTTCTACAGACATGTTCTAGGCTGGGGTATCCGATGGAAAGCTTGTCTGCGAAACAGCTTCGGCACTTCAGCTGAGCCAAGTCGTCGCGCTTTCCGGGCTGTGCTTCGGAACACGCATTGATGGCCACTCACTTGATGCGAGTCTACCCTTTCGGAGGGTGGGAAGGTACAATGACGTGTAGCATTCTAAGATCTAGGTAGAATCTCTAGTCTGCAGCTTCGCGCGATAATTCTTGTTAACAGCCAGGCAGCAATTAAACGAAGAGGGGGCGTATGCACTTTGCCATAATCCAGTAGAGACAGAAACGCTACTCAAACACGATTAGGCGATAAACTGTTGTTTAAGTTCATGTGGGAAGGGGCTGCCAATCAAACATGGGAGCGCGCCTCAAAGTTTGAAGGCATGGATTTTAACGCCTCTCAAGGTACAGGTATTAGCATGTTAGAGGTACTGTCACTATTATCATTACACTTCCTATTACCATTACTGTCACTAATTCTATGGCGACTGCTACTGCTACTGCTACTGCGACTGGGACTGCTACTGCGCTACTGCTACTGCTGGTACTACTGCTACTACTACTGCTACTGCTACTGCTACTACTACTACTACTACTACTACTACTACTAGCCGCCCCCCCCCCCTACCAACTATGTTTGCTTAAATTGCCAATATTAATATGGGGGAGGCGGCATTAGAAAACAGTAAGCAACATGACAACGAAGTGCTTTCCACGCAGGGTGCTGGTTAGTTCTCGAAGGCCTGCTTTGCGAGCCTTACCTGGA